GTCAATGTACTGGAATGTCTTAACATTGCCGTAATACTCTCCCACCACCAGTTGACCAGTAGCAGGGTTGATGACTACTGCAGTGGGATACCACAACCCATCATCCTTAGTGACAATGTATCTGATAAACTGTCCCTGTGGACTCAGTGCCACTATCCTGTGGTTATAAAAGTCAGCAATGAAGATGTGACCATAGCTGTCTGTGCACACTCCATGTGGTAACCTCAGTTCACTGCCTTCTCTGCTGCCATACTGGTACAGATGATCACCAGTAGGTGACAGCACATGTACACAGTCTCCGCCCCAGTCTGATATCACAATGTTATCATTCACACTGTTCACTGTGATGTACTCTGGGTTTTCACACATACTGAGTGGAATAGTGTTCAGGAGCTGTCCACTGTCTGCATGGAATGTGAAGATGGACTTCTTTCTTCTGTCACAAACCATCACATGACCTTGTCTGTTCAGTGTAATACCCCGTGGTGACTCCAGTAGACCCTGACCCATGGTTGTCACCTGCTGACCTCTGGTGGAGTACACTTGGACACATCTGTCACCATATGATGTTATATACAGGTGACCAGTCTGTGACACAGCCACATCCCATGGTTTGTTTACTTTAATGTTAAACTTAAATTGTCCTTCATGTGTGAATACTTTTGTTCTGTTGTCCACAACAAACATCTGTTCCTTATATATGGCTAACCCAGTTATGCCAGTTATTTCTCTATCATCTCCCAGTTTAGGACTGAAGGAACGCACACATTCTGCCTTCTCTAAGAATACAAGATGATGTGGAGCTGATGTTGTATTTGTTTCCTGTTCAGCTAATGGAGGTTGTGTCTGTACTGTCACCTGTCCTGATCTTGGATTTACACCTCGTCTAGACTGCCCTAACATGGCTTCCATTCCGACAGTAGATCCTGTAATATTTCTGTCAGCGATTGCTAAACTTTATGTTTACTTCTGGTGCTGCAGCTTGGAGATCACAGTAACATAAACACTTGCTCCATATACTTACAAGTCGGTCAGATTATATCTCTTTCTTTGTCAAATATGTTCAACATTATCCCACAATCTCCGTCCTGTTACTTCCTGACTGTTGAAGAAAATGGCGCCTGTTTATCACATACAGCACTGACTCGCTTAGGAGAAAGGCCAGGACAGGACGCAGAATGGCGGCAACGGCATCACAGGCCACGAGAAACAAAACGGCATCACAGAGCAGTGGATAATAGATGACACAGCGAGTTCAGGTGCCAGTAGAATGTCAATTTTATAACAGGTATCTGCAAGGAATAAGGATTGTGCTATAACAACAACAACAACATTAATAATAATAATAATAATAATAATAATAATAATAAAAATCATGGTATGACTCCGGCATCTTAGTAATCACCAAAGGTCACAAGAATCATCACATAAAAAATAAAATAAAATAATAATAATAATAATAATAATAATAATAATAATAATAATCTTGACATTGCAGACTAACTGGCTAGGGGGCATAAGGTTAATTGTATTCATGCCTGTCTTTAAGGGGTCATTTTCGCAAATCTACCAGTAGGCTACATGTAGGCCCTACAACAGCATATTGGGGAGGGGGGGTGTCCTCTGTACGCTTTTGGAACAATAAAAATTAAGAAATCATGATCCTCCCTCTCCCAGGAAGGCGAAGGTGACCATGTTTAGCTTTTCAGGATCAGATTGGGGGTGGGAGGGGGGGGGGGCTGGAAAGAGTCTTCTCTTTTAGACTTGTAAAATGATGATAAAAGTGATGACATCTAAGACCACACCATAATTTATAATAAGCATATTTCCCGATTTATCTGTATGATCAGATCATTATGAACAAGTTCTGTTTTTTAATGTTTTGTAAAAGGTAGAAAAGGGATAGGGACTACAAAAAATAGAGTAACCGATTTTTGGACCCTTTGTCGTTTTGCTTGAAAACTCTGAGTAAACGTGATAGAAACAAGATTTGTAGAGTAACAAGGCGTGCGCATGGCAAGATATAAGGCTACCCTCCCTCTCTCTCTCTCTCTCTCTCTCTCTCTTCTTTCATCAATGTACCTGCTCCAACTCACACAATTATTTAAATACATTTCCCAATAAACCGACATAATTAAACAAAACAAAGGAAAACTGAAACACAAATCTAGGAGAGGATAATTTACAAAGCTTTGTAAAAGTAAAGGAATCAATAAAATAAAGGTGACCATGCAGTTTCCTGGTCCATTAATATATTGTGCCGCTTTCTCCCAGGGTAATTGCTACTGTATAGAGAGGTCATTACAGAAAGTCAGCACTGTCAGAAGATATACATGTAGGCCTAAGTCTACCCAGTAAGGTATTTCTTGCAACCCCCACCCCCTGCGTCTCATCTCTCTCTCTCTCTCTCTCTCTCTCTCTCTCTCTCTCTCTCTCTCTCGCTCGCTCTTTCTCGTCTTAATAAGTTACCTGCTGTAATTCACACAACCATTTTTTTATAAATTGCACAGATTGTGAAAATGAGGGAGTAAGAAATTTATTTGCTTTATTCAATAATAATTCTGTGTGGCTAAATCGGGAGTCACCCTGGAGAGAATAAAGTAATACAAGGTACAATAACAATATCAAAGTGAAGAATAATTATTGTACTAAATTAAATCTACTTGTCACTGTTTCTAGCCCCATCACGTGTTTGTCAGGCGATAAGTTCAAAGTACAACATGACTGGAAGAAGACTGGAGTTAATAAGTAATGCAGCAGTGCTGTTATCGGTTATCAAATATTTAGTTATAAACTAGACTTTAGTGTCTGTAGGCCTATATAATATATATAGTTAGGTATAAACTAGACTATAGTGTCTGTAGGCCTATATGATGTTATATATATAGTTAGGTATAAACTAGACTATAGTGTCTGTAGGCCTATATGATGTTATATATATATATAGGTATAAACTAGACTATAGTGTCTGTAGGCCTATATGATGTTATATATATAGTTAGGTATAAACTAGACTATAGTGTCTGTAGGCCTATATGATGTTATATATATAGTTAGGTATAAACTAGACTATAGTGTCTGTAGGCCTATATGATGTTATATATATATATAGTTATAAACTAGACTATAGTGTCTGTAGGCCTATATAATGTTTTTTTTTCTTTCCTGTTTAAATTTATGTATAAACTTTTTCGGTTTTCAGTTCTTTTTTGAATGCCAAATATGTTTTAGGAAATATCAAAATGTATTTTTTTCATTTAATTGGGAATCTTTGGGAGAGAATTGTTTAATGTTTTCTATATCAACAGCTGATTTGTTAAAAAAAACCCATATCACACAATCTGAGAATCTAACTTTGGTGCACCATTTTGCCCAATTTACAATGTATAATCTTCAAGATATTTTTTTTTTTCGACAAGCGTTTCATTTCGGGGGAGTACCAAATTCTTCCATATCTGAGTATGTTCAACCCTGTGCCAAATTTCAATGGTATCCATTGAACAGTTATTCATGCGATGATCACCTCTCGTTTAGACTACTGCAACTCTTTACTCTATGGCTGTACCGACGAACGAATAAAATAACTGCAGCGAATTCAGAATATTTCAGCACGTCTTTTAACCCGCACAGCCAGGTAGGAACATATCACACCCATTTTAAAGCAGTTACACTGGCTCCCAGTCAGAGCACGCATTTTATTCAAAATTTTAACTTTTATGCATGCAATTTTTTTTTACCAATCAGCACCCCTCGCACTTAAAAAAATTAGTTCAACGTTATGTTCCAAAACGTGCTTTAAGATCATTCGATCAGCTTTTATTAACGCCTTGTTATTCCAGATTAAGAGCTTACGGTGATGTTGCTCTTCAGGTCTATGGACGATCTCCCTATTTATGTAAAAACAATATAGTCTGAGGACAATGTTAAAAAAGAGTTAAAAACTTATATCTTCAAAAAGATTTATAATTGATTTTTCAAGCTGTTATCTTTTACACTTTACAGTTTATTTTTAATATCTTATCAATTTATTTACATTTCAGTTCACATCTTTAGTTCATATCTTATTATTTTAACTACCTTTTCATTTGCTTTAGTCACCAGATTCTGTTCATTTTACCCACGTAAAGCCTACTGAACATTTTATATGGATTTTAGACTATTAATTATTATTATTATTATTATTATTATTATTATTATTATTATTATTATCTGACCTGAGTCTTCATATAGAACATTTACACGGTTTTTATTTTCCGAAAATCCCCAAACATCCCGACCCATGCTCTAAAATTAATCGGGGTCACACGGCTTTTAAACAATTTGTGGCATGTGTAGAATCTTATTTGACCAACTTTTTTTTCTTTTTGCCATTATTAAACCCAGTGTTATAGTAGCAGATTCAGATAGAAACTTTGCATTGTATTGAAAATCTAAAAATTATTCTACATTAACTCCAAGCTATTTATACTTATCAACCCATCCTATATGGTGGCCACCAAAACATACAAAACCTGCAGTACGTTCTTTATGTTTGGGCCTGTAATGTGCACATATTGTTTTCTTGTAATTAATTAGCATTGTCCATTTGTTACAACACTGGTCCACGCTTCTTTGGACGAACACAAGAAGGACTAATGCTACCAAACTGAAAGAGGATATCTTGCAAACAGATTACATCAAGCAGAATGGAAAGCTTTACTTTCATGTTTTTTTTTCCTGCTGGGTTTTTCCCATTTCATTAAAGACTGTCATCACTAAAATGCAAAAAGGCACACTAGCAATCTACAATTGTCACTACCTCCATTGAAAAGCGTAAGCGATTCGCCGCGACAAAGTGCAATAATTAACACTGATTCGATCATGAGATCAATTTAATTAACGAAGTGAAGACCAAAAATAATTGCCCTACTATAAAACTGTACCTTTCTACAGGTACTTGTAGAAAATCACATCCACAAAGGTTACCCTCCGCCATGACATGTAGACACAAACACGACTGCTGTGTTCAAATCCCAAACTTCAAGTGGCAACCTGGCACTCGGCCTTTATTTACACACATAAATATATTTGTTGTGGGTACGCAGACACGTGGTATGTTTCTGCGTGGACTGTCCAGTACGGTCTGAGTAGTGTTAATATCATGTGACTGGTCACTCGAGTAGTGTTATCAAATAGAAGGTGATGAGGAAAAGCAGATTTTAGAGTTGGGTCATTCGAAGGCTCTTTCGCTTTCCGTGATGCAAGCAGAGAATGTTTATAATTCCCTCCCACCCACCCAATTTTGAAGGGTTTTTACTTTATCAATTTAAAAAATGTTGAAAGTTTGTTTGTTTAAATAAATGTATTTTATGAATAAATACGTGTGTTAAGATACTTCATGGTATATTACCACTTCATGGGATAAATGCTCTGATTTTACTGTCAAATCGACTTCATAGGATAAAATGCGACTTCATCTCCACATAAGATATTGCCTGCGACTTCATGGGATAATGATGAAAATTACCTGTTGTTGGCCCAAAGCTATGAGGGAGAACGTTTTTGAAATATAACGTTTTTGTACTGTGATTATTATCCAAAATAGGTAAACTGTACGTTTTAATTTACATGTATGACTGAATAAGGTTTCCTTAGTGGTATTGGATACATGTTTTGAGTAATTTTAAAATACACAGGCATATGTAGGTGAGGATCCAGTATTTCTAAAAATCAGTACATTGAGGGAGATTGTGGTCAGCGTTGAAGAAAATGGGGTCTAGACCCTCATGGGCCCTCCCTTCCCAGATCCGCTTGAAGCATATAACTAATGGATCAGGTAAACCAGGCTATGAAAACAAAATGTACGCGTAGGTTACTGGATTATAAGATGGCAGGGCCGGAGCCTGAGCAAAATG